ACTAAATCCCTTCCTTAACTCCGGGTTTCATCTAGGACGTGTCCCACTGCCATGAGGCGTGCACGTATTATGAACCCCTGGCTGCCTGGCTGCCTGGCCTGGGGGGGAGTCGCGCTTGCGACAACACTGTTCGTTCGTTCCCCACGAACCCACGGCTGTGTCCCTAGTTTAGTTCCCTGATGACGATCTGCGCTCGACGCCTTGACTAACCAACGTGGCGTTCGGGGAAGATGCTGGTTCTAGACAAGTTGATACCCGTCGTTTTGCCGGTTGCTTGAGAAAAAGTAGGCCACCGCAATCCTTCTTGCCGGGCCATAGCTCTAAGCTCCAATCACAAGCCTTGCCTAAACCTCTTAGCGATCCCCCGATCGTGACATCTGTCAAGTCTATCAAGTGCCGGTAGGGGGTTAGGTTCTAGATCTTGCCTTTTTTAGCAAGGGGAAGTTCTGTCCCATCTTACAGTATGTAGGGAATATCCTCCATGAGATGCCGGCGCAACAATTACTGTGGATTCTGGAATGGAATGTTGTAAGCAAGCTGGAGCCTTGGTCAATCAAGTCGTAGGACTCCGTAGTCGTGGTAGTACGGCGGGGCGCCAGGAAAGGCCCAGTATGTATGGGCTGATTCTTTCCCAGGGAGCTGGGCTGGCAAGTTAGCTGCCTCTCTCTCTCCCTCACTCATGGGGCCGGGCGGGACGAGATGGTCCTGCAGAATGGCGTCCATGCGTCAGATTCTTGGAAGTTGGCACACACCAAGCAAGCCAGTCTGCAGATGTGCTGGAGATCAACCGTCTTGTGGTCAAGCACAGCCGCCATGTCTTGTGCAACCCCCGATCGGTGGAAAAAGCAGAAAAGAATACGAAATACGAAGCGAAATAATAAGCAGTTAGAAAAAAGCAAAAGAGAGACAGCATAAAGGCCAAGAAGGAGAGATGGATGAATGGATGATCCATGTCATTAGTCATGGCCTGTTAGTGGTGGATTCAATACGGTCGCAAAAGCAACGAACGCAAGACATGACGGCGTCACGCCGAGGTTGATCGGAACTCCGTAGTAGCAGCTGAAGCTGAAGCTCAACCTTGCCTGAGGCATACAGAAAATACAGTCAGCAGCGAGTAAGCGACGATCCGCCCACTCGTGGCTGGGAGAGCTGAAACCGGCACAAGGTTTCGCTTCCCTTAGTTTGATCGACCGTCACATCTTTGCCGCCCGCCTATCCCTCGGAACCGAAACTGTGACCTCGACCGAACCGCGACAAATGAAACAGACGAGCTGATGGGTTGAGCAAAGGTGGCTTAGAGAGCGGGTGGTGCCGCCTGTCCATGGTTGCTTTTGGAAGGGAAACAAGATGGGATCGACACGAGAGGCGCAACTTGACTTTGCTGATGCCGTGGTTGTTTGGCACTCTCGGCGCGTGTGTGTTACGTATGTCTCTCGTCGGCACCAAAAGGTTAGATTGAAAGAAAGAAGAAAGAAAGGATTTAGTTAGTTAATGGTTTGGTGTTAAGGCAAAAATGCCAAACCATCGGTGCAACATTTCACACGATAGTTTGATACTACACCAGACAAAAAAGATAAGCAAAGCTATCCAAAATAGCAACGCGGACACGGATCTCAAGAACGGCAAAGTCTCCGAGGATTATACCACCCTGGGCCGGGATCAGATCAATAGCAGCAGTAATCAGCAGGTAGTAGGGGGCATAGACTGTTAATAATGCGGTGGGCACCTCCGACGGCATTTGTTCCGGGTCGGGGGGAGTGGATGCTATTATTAATCTTGTCAGGGGGATATTATTTCGATACCCGCACCTAAGCGACTTGCGGTAGGATTCCCGACGACTATTGAGGCGGTCAAAGCTGGAGCGTTGGAGAGCGTTGGATGATCGGCGTGCGCATCATTGTCAATCTTTATCAAGATTCCAGAGTTTATCTCGGAATCTCCCCGTCGCCTAGAAAACTGGAACCGGCACACGTCTTTGCCGAGCTGGCTGGACTTTTGGCTGGAATAATGGGCCCATGGGTTGCACTATTACTCAGACTAGTTATTCTGGAATCCATAACTGATACATAATATTATGCTCGAGACGAGGATAAACACCGCAAGCAGAATACCCATAGATAGATACCCATAAGTGAAGGCATTGAATATCCTCACTACATATAAACTATCCATCTAGAAGATCATCAAAAAGAAACCCCCCTAATGCACAAATACCTACCTACATACCTACCTCATTCCCTCACCGTTATACCTAGATACCCAACCCATGCAGCCAGAACCTAAAATTGGGTTGTAATGTCGTGGAAGCCCCCTCGAAAAAGTAAAAAGAAACGAGAATGAGATGCATCCCACGAAGTCAAATTCCAACCAACACACACACAAAGCTCACGCTGCACTGTAACTCAAGAATGCGACCACAACTACTCCGTAATTCCCACTTCCCCCTTCCCCCTTCCCCAGTTTACCCCTACCTACCCCCTCTTTCCCCCCCTTCGCCTCACAAATAATCCAAGAAATTAGTTGGCAGAGACAGAAAAAAAAACAAGAACATGATCGGTCGGTCGGGTCGGGTCAGTCAGTTCAGTCGGTCGGGACCCGACAACCTACCCAGAGAGTTACTTACTAGTATTCGTCGAGATATCCCTTTCCGGGCATGATGTGCTCGTTTAAGCTCAGGGCGATTTTCCCGACATGCGCAACCGCTAAGCGAAGGCTATCTGAGTTGCCTCTTAGCACAGCCATACATACTACAGTACTACGATATGTTTTCATTTGGATCATCAATTCATTTCGTATCTGATTGAGGCTGGTGGATGATTGTCCGTCTGTCGTATACAACGCGCACTTCCATAATTAAAACAAACCCTTTCCTTCCCGATTATGGAGTCTATGCTTTTGAGTGACAATCAATCAGTCCCTTTAGGATGATAAAAGTAAATCATCAACACGTATGCACTGCCCAACTCTCAATTCATTCATTTCCATTTTCCTTTCCTTATTTGGCTCGGGTAAAGATGAATGAAATTTGGTGGTTCGTTCATCGGCTCGCCCGTCCGTTCCCTTCTTCGGTCGGCTTGACTGAGTAGTAAGTAAGTTAAAGTGGGTTGGTTGTGTATGTGCCGGGTCTGCTCGGTCGCTCATCTCTCTCTACCTCTACTCTCATCGGCTCGGTCGGTAAGTAGGTATCTAGTTAGTATAGTATGTTCTGGAACTTAGTACTTACATCTCACCTGCTCAAATAGGCAATATCCCACTTTCTGCGTTATATAGCCCATTTTATTTATTTATTTATCCATATATTGCCTGATCTGCCCTGAGGGTCGGAGGGGTCGGAGGGGGGAGGATGAAGATCACCGCGGGACCTTTCCGAGGGACAGCATATTGATATGTGGATTGTGGATCTACATACTACGTAGTATTCGACTGACTTATGCTGTACTCCGTAGATACGTAGTAGATAGGTTAGGTTAGGTTAGGTTACTTTTTGGGGTTGATACATTGTTTGTGTTTGTTTGTTCCACCTGGTTATGGATAGGAGGGTTTTACTTGGCGAACTGTACTGGTGAACTTGCGTTCTAATCATTGGGGGGTTTGGGTTTCATATGCTTTCTTTACCCTTGTTTAGTTTGAAACTCAACTTAACTCATGGCGGGGGAGGGGAGGGGAGAATAATGTCTCATGGTTTACTTTAGTTTAGTTGCTTTTGGTTTCTTAGGATGTCGTAAGCAAGCTTTTTGAGGATCTGTGACTATGAACTGCCGGGTGGTTGCCGCGGAGGTGATTGGAATGGATGGATGCTATACTAGACTGCTACTACTAGTACTCTTACCCCCCGCTTCGTGGTGATGGTGGCGGCGGCGGCTCAGTTTCGCCTCAGAGTTCAGAGTCAAGATGAGACACATACGACAGATGAGACAGATATAGTTCCGGTGTTCCGAGGATCATCTACTACTTACTATCTACCATGCATTTACTAGTAGTGAACTACGATGCAAGAAGCATACCATACTACACCATAGTAGCGTAGCCAACTATCAAGGGTAGTAAATACTAGATGATAGTAGAGCCTCCCAACCCAGCGGATACTGTGATAATCCAAGGAAATTGATGAAAATCCCGACCGTCTGGACCGACCTCCCAGGAAATTAATATCGCGGGTTTACTATCCCTATAATATAAGATAATATAATCTAAACTAACACTGACTACGGGAGTCGTAGGTCGTAGGCCGAGTAGACTACTAGGGTAGGTAGGCTATATGGCTCGCTCGCTCGGTCACTACGCAAGAGCCGACGCTTAAGTGGAGAGAGAAGTTTAGTAACGAAGGGGGGGGGCAAAAGCAACCAAGCCAATATGATTGGACGGGAAGGGGGAACGGACAGCTTCGCTTCCACGAGACAAGAGCATCAACCTAACAGCCTGGAGCAGGCTCGTTTATTAAAGTTTGGGACCGCTGGGGAATCAATCAATCTGCTCGCACATGGAACTGCTGGGACTGGTAGTACGTAGCTGGAACTGGACCAGGTTTGATCATTAATTGTGGGTTTAATTTTCTTTCTTTTTCTTCGTTGTTCGGGTCGAGTTCCATGTGTAGGATGAAAGAGGAGAATCCTGACGCGTATGTCAGCTCTTCCATTAATCGTATTGTCTTAGAGTAAAAGTGTGTGTCCATCCATGGATGAATCAATCTCCGTATGGAGTAGTCAGCCGTTCTGGATGCCACACACACAAAACAGCCCAGACGATCATTTAATCTATCTTGCAGCATCCGGGGGAAGGAAATGGATTTGACTAAGGATGATGTAATTCGGCGTCGCCGACAGTTGGCGTTTGTTTTTTGGATTGTTAGGTTACTTTAGTTGGCACTGGCAGGTTGGTAAAAATGGATGGATGATCCGCTAAAAGTCGCCAAGGAGGGGGGAAAAGGAAGGCAGGAAGGGATTGATCGACTGTGCCATTCCATTGTTGCGTCTCCCTTCGCTACAAAATAAAAATTCACACTAAGCTGGATATGTACTACGGCCGGGAGCATTACCACTTTGGGCGATGGGGGCGCTCGCGTTGGCATCGCTCAGGTACGCTTCCGGTAATCGGGTGTGGGCGGTGTGGTCCGCCGCTAAGGGTGTTTTGTGCTGATCAGTTGTGTTCGGAAGAATACCAAGAAAGAGGTAAAGTGTAAGGCCAGCCTGCTTGCTACTACTGAGGCTTGAGGCGCGACAGGGATGGGGCCTGTTTAGATGTGATGATGATGATGATGATGATGATGATGATGGTGATGGATTATGCCGATGAATGAATGACCTCAAAATAGAGATTTTTTGAATTTCAATTTTTGCTTGGCTGTACCTACAGCATACCTTACTGTAGATCTACTTACCCTTTCCTAACAACTACCACGAGGTTCATATTTCTTGTGAAACCAAAAATTCGTGACATAAAAACAGCCAGCCAACCAGCCGGAAGCAATTCATCCGACGGGAAGCGAACGCATAAACTGACTGACTGATGACTGATCTCGGTTCCCAGAAATAATACCGGGATGATCAACAACTAAAACTACAGTTAGTAAGGTGGAAAGTAGTAGGTCCGTCCGTTCTTTCTTCCCCCCTTCGTCTCCATAACCCTTTTCGGGATTCGTCTTGTAGCTCTCCCGGCCGAGGTACATGTCTCGTGTGTGAGCGTCCCGCCCTGCTCCGGCTATGAGGCCCTTGGGGACCTCCCGAGAATCAAAGTATAATTGTGTCTCTTCTCGAAATGTCTCGTTTAGCCATGCTTATTTTGGACTTGAGACCGCCCGTAGGCAAAGCTTTTTAGTTTAGACGTCGTGATCTGACGGTCGATCCCAATGGAAGTGAGGGAATGCGGATATGGCCTTTTGGCAGGGAAATCGAATCCATCTACACTACTATCCACTTCGGCAGTTGATATCGGTGGTTATTAGCCTCGTCAGTCAGCCTTCCTTCCCTTGATCATGGTTGGTGGCTGTGGTGATGATGACGATTATGATGATGATGATGCGCTGTGCAGTTCCCACCAACTAAATCGATGCGGCCCGAATGTGGACGACAGGCAGAGAAAGAAAGAAGCAAAAGTGCAAGTAGATATCCGGTTTTGAGACAAAGTCAATTGTCTCAAAGAATATTTGCTGAAAGGGGTGGTGACTTAGGCACACATACACACCAACAACCCCAGCCCTGGTCGACGTCATTGACCAGTCACCGTAAAATGCATGCACCATGCAGCATCCGCAGCATGGTTGATCAATCAGGGGAGGTTTTCCCTGGATCCCTTGAGTTACGCCTGGGCCAGTCAGTTATCGCTTGCATGGACGATGCATTTTTCTCCATCTCCATCGCCCGGTTTCTGTCATTCTCGTTGGATGGTTGATTTTCTCCGTTCTGCAAAAACAAAAAAGAGTTACTAGTGGTCACTGCCTGACCAACACATCTCACCAGCCCCCAAGAAGAGCAAAAAAAAAGAAAAGAAAGAGTATTGCTAATAATGAGCAAACCCAGATGTGAATCTACATCGTACATAGATACATCTCCGTAGTCTATACAAACTAACCCTCGGGGGGCCAGATGATCATACAATAATAATAATCATCCGAAAGGGCTTTCCCTTCCGTCTTGTTTGTTGGTCGGATCGGATCAATCTAGCTGACTTGGGATTAGTTTAGTCAGCGGCATCCTTCTGCTCTTCTTTTCTTTTTCTTTTCTTTTATTTAGAGAAAATTACTTTATTCTTGTTGGCTGTCAACTGCCATGATAATCTCCGGCATTCCTCATCACCGTAAAAAGAAAATAAGCAAAATAGAATAAACCATCTTGGCCCCCCGACCGACCGAAAGGAATGGGTGCTATGAACTAGTCTAGCCTGAGGATCGTTCAGAGATTCCTTTCTTGGATGGACCAGATCTAAGCTCTCTTGGGCTTAGAGCCCCCTTTTGCTTAACAAGCAGGCCAAAAAGAGCGAGCTGCCATGCCATCCGCGCATCGTGCCGCGACTCCGTCAGCCCGGCCGGCCCCAAGGGATTGGACCATCCCCGGAGACATTTCCCATCCCAGACATCAAGCGAGTCATGGCCCTCACGATGGGCGTTTCTCCATTTCCCATCTCCGTGGTCTAGGGAGAGAAACTAAGGGGGTGTCTGTGTTAGTCGTGTAGTGACGCTATCAACGGAGTCTCTTCCATCAAAGTAACTTTTCTATTATTATTATAATGTGCTGGTCTGTGTTGCTGGACCACGCACGCATTGTCTCAGTACCAAAGGATCTTCGGAGAAATAGGATCGAGTAGTAAGAGACAATTAATTTAGAGAAGGAATAACTATGGATGGAATGAATTCAGGGTCACCTTTTCAGATTGTTTTCCAGAAAGGGATGTTTAATCGACCGCTAGAATACGGAAAGAACGGAGATGGAAACTGAGACCAACCAGGGTTGAGATCTGGGAATAGATTGGATCCCTTCTCTATTGCGCTCTCTCTCTGTGTGTGTGTCTGTCTGTCTGCGTCTTCCCCTCCCCCCCCCTTCCCCTCAAACCGGTGATCTGAGCCATGCTGGACCAGGGTTGGTCTGTTTGGGTCACGGACAAGTACCGGGACGGAACCAGCCAAGTGGGAAGGAGGGAGGGGTACCTTAGGCAGCGAGTTTCGCCCACCGAGGGCCCCGAACACACAGGATCTACGGGGAGGAGGAAGAGGGAGGGGGGCGTGTATGGAAAGCAGAGAGGTGGGGAGGAGACCCAGAAGGGGACAGCCAGGACTGGCTAACCATGAAAGCTGGTTGGAAGCAAGCTGGAACCACATGAGATCAGGTTCTCAAGCAGCAAAGCAGCCAACATCCAGCAGCAGTAGCAGTGGCAGCAGAGCAACAGCCAGCCAGCAGCAGCGTGATCGTGCGGCAACGATCAGCCGTTTATGGGGCATGGGATCGTTGTGACAGGTAAAACCAGGACGGAGCCTTGGGGGTTCCACCCCGAAGAGAAAGATCGGCTGCTGGCGTAAGTGCAAGCCAGATGGTAAAGTAGGTCCAGCCCAGAGTTCGATTCGATTACCACCATAATACCGGACGGAGACTTCCATTTCTTTGCTTAGAGTCGTCGACTAGTAGTAGGGGGGTGGTGTGGATGCCAGTGGTGGTCGGCTCCGTCCCCATGATGAAGGATGATCTCTGATTGATTCCTTGAGGGCGCGCATGATGGAGAAAGGAAAGGTGTCCGTGGATCTGCACTAGCGCCAGACTTACTGTAGCCGAGCCCCGAAAGTACCGTTGGCTTTGGCTCCATCGGCCGATCTGAGAGTGAGAGAGACAGACAGACAGTGTGTGTGTGAGAGTGTGAGAGTCAGAGGTCAAGAGAGTCAGAGTCAGTTACTGTGTGGTTGCTGTGCCCTTCGTACGACGCAGTTACGTACCCCCTTCTCCTCCCGCCGCGTTGCTTCTTTCAGGAGTAGATCTCCGTTGGGATCTCATTGTTCGTAACTTTTTTTTGAAGAGTTATGCTCGTGATGTTTATTACTTGCTTGCTGCTGTTGCTGCTGCTACTGCTACTGTTGCCAAATGGTCTAGAGCAAAGTGGAGGAAGATTTCCTGTCGTCATACTTTTACTACTACAAAATTCTCCTTTGTCTATGTATAGCACTTGTAGATAGAAAGAAGATGATCGACTGTCTCTCATCTCGTCTCTTTTACCCAGTCTCAGCTTGATCTGCCATCATCTTACTTCCGTGCTCATCAGCTCCCATGGAAAAACCATCCACTCTTCCCAGGGTTAAGGTGGCCTGGGGGGGAGGGGAGCAGCGAAGGGTGTGGAATAATGGTGGAGGCGGCGCACGTTGTTTTAGCTCTCGTTGAGCCTACCTAAAAGGTATAGCAAAGCTAATGGCAAATCATCCCGGTTAAGTGTTTTCTCATTTTGGATTTTCTAATTTTCCTCTTTTGGAATTCCGAAAGCGGTAAATTAGAAGACAGGGAAATTCAAAAAAGAAAATGGAAAAATTAAAAATAAAAATTCCAAAAAGAAAACGTAAATTACCCGCCAAGAGCAAGACATCGCGTGTGGTGCTCCGTACCGGGGCCACTGCCCATTAATTAAGCTTTGGGACGGAGGTATCAGCCCTTGTGGAAGCGAATCGAGTAAAATAAAATTAAATTAAATAAAGAGAGAAAAAAAAAAAAGATATGTGGCCACTGCGGGCTCTGGAATATTCAAGACGCCGCTGGGACTGGAGGGATGAAGGAAGAGAAGAAGAAAAAGAAATTAGTAAAATAATATGAGGATAAACCAAGCCAGAACGGAGGATATCGTACCTGTTCGGCTGTGTGGCAGGAAGAAGGAAGTTAGTAGGTTCATCCCTCTACTAGACGAGATCCTCATCAGACGGGGGGAGAAAAAAAAAGTGTAATTATTTGGGGACCAGCGATTTGCGTCGGATTCGCCCGCTTTCTCTCCCTCCTGTGAGTCTGTTCTGTCTGTCCTGTCTGTATTTTGGCTTGTCTTGTGTCTGGCTGCCTTTTTTTTTTTATTTTTATTTTTTATTTCGCGTCTCTTAGTTTTTCTCCCTCTCACACTCTTTTCGGGCTCTCCACCCGTCGGTTGAACCACTACGGCCGGAGTATACTCCCCAGCGGGCAGCTATAATTAAACTGCCTGTCGATTGATCCTCCCTGGATTTTATTTTATTTTATTATTTTATTTTCTGATAAAATAAAATATTCCTCTCTATTTTATTCTATTATTTTTCCTGTCAACCTTGCTCCCCACTTTTCGCATATCTCCACTATTCCACACCCTCAATCATCGTCTCTCCTTCTTTTCCCCTCTGCCATCCACGCGCTTTGGTCTATAAACCCCGTTCATATCCTCCTCCATCTCTCCCCCCCTGTTCCCATCAAACCCACCCCCACTTGTACCTTGCCTCCAATTCCATTGGATCCATCTTTCGTTGCCTCTTGACTCGACCTCGCTTTTATATATCTTCCCTCGGTAGCCTCCTTCTTGCTTGCTATAAGCTACCTCTTCCTTTCCACTCGGTTTCATCCAACCTTATATACATACATACATATACATCCACCCTCCTCCACCACCACCTTCCTCACCCACCACCACCTACTTCAACACTCAACATGGATCTCGCCAGCCTCATCTCCCACCCGGGACCCGATCCCATCATGAAGTCTAGAGCCTCATACAGCCCTCCCATGACCTCTTACAAGCGGTCCATCGAACAGACTTCCGACTCATACTTCCCCTCCGTCCCGATCTCCTACACCCGCTCCCCGCAGCCTCCTCTCTCCCCGCCTGTTGAGGACCACTCTCCCAAGTGCTCTCTTCCTTCCATCTCTACCTTGCTTGAGGGCGCAGATGGCGCAGCTATGCACGCAGCAAGTATGGCCCCCAATGCT